TAATGAGGAAAAAAAAATTACTTAAATGATTTTAGCAAATGGCTGCAATATAACAAAGAGTGAAAAATTTAAGGGGGTCTGAATACTTTCCGTACCCACTGTATATATATATATATATATATATATATATATATACACTCTTAAAAATATTTAACTATACACTATTAAAACAATTTAAAAAATGTTACTTGAAATGAAATAAACATGAACTGAAATAAAATAAAATAGAAATGCTAATATAAAACTTGACCTTATTTTATGTCAGCTAGTTTTATATACTAACTTAATGTACTAAAATAACTAAAACTAAAACTGTATGGACATATTTAAAAAAAATAATAATGTCAAAAGCACACAACAAAAATTACAAACTTTGATTACATTTAAAATGAAAATGGAAAATATAAACATTAAAACAACCTTAATAAAAAATTATAGTAGTATCTCAATGATTATAAAATAACACTGATATAGATTTTATATAGTCTATATGGTGTCACTTCAGAATGAAGTCTCAGGTTGCTGTGTTTGTATTTGATTGGCCCTATTTTATATTTAGTTATAAACTAATTTATATAAAACATTACATATTTAAAATAAATTATATAATGAAACAATTATATATAAATAATACTTTTTTGTGTGTTTTCTAACATTAAAAAGACCAGCATTTATTCAACATTTTTGTAATAATATACCCAACCATTCAAAAGTTTGTGTCAGTGTTTTTTTTCTTTTAATTAATTAATGAATTCATTTAATTTTTTTTAAAGAAATTAATACTTTTATTCAGCAAGGATATGTTCTGTTTCCAACATTGATAACAAATATATAATTTTATTATATTATATCTATACAATATGATATCAGGTGTATAGAAAGGTATATAATAAATAATATAACATTTAAAAATATTATATATTGTAGATTCAAACTTACCGTATTCATTGTGAATGATCTACTCTGACTGGCCAGGAATATACACTGTTTGTACATGTGCTTTATCCACATACACAACATATTTATAGAAATGCACACCTGCACCTGTGTTTGCCCACCTGTGCACCAGTATGAAATCCTGCTCGTCTCTTTTCATTTTCCACCCTTCTTTCTCTCGTTTCTCCTCTTATTTCTCTCCTTCCCAAAGGTTACATCGAGGCAGCTGTCATTCCGGTGGGAGCTCGGCGAATCAAAGTTGTGGAAGACAAACCATCCCATAGCTTTCTGGGTAATTACTCAACCTGTTGCCATAACAACAGTCTTCCAAATGGCCACACAATGGATCTGAGTGAGACTGGAGCAGCTCCGTAATGGCTGTAGATAGGAATCACGCCAGGTGTCGTCTCTAATGCTGCGCTATGACAAATGACGCTTCTCTGCTGACAAGCTGCTTGTCACATTAGGATGAGACTCACGCTAAGGATGTATAACAAAGATTTGCTTTATGCAGATCAATACTAATTTCGTAATACTTTTTTGCCCACTAAATATGAGCTTTTGTGAGTGAATGTCACAGAAGCATGTCTGGTCATTTTTCACCCATAAGATCAGAAGACAAGAAATATAGTATATATTATGATGTTTTTAATAAACAAATGAAGTCTTTTGAAAAATTTTATATGTTTTAATTATGACATTATTGCAGGACATTTAAGTACATTTATCCCTCCAATTGTAAATACTAATAAATAATAATATGTAATTTTTAATTGTAATAATGAGAATTGTGGAGGACATTTATGTAAATTAATGTAAAATAATAATGTAAAATAATCTTAATTGTCTATCAAGTTTAATTTTCTTTAAACAAAAATACATTTTACTTTTAATGTAATGCATCCATGTTTTTTTTTTTTTCTTTTTTTCTTTTTGCAATTTCCATTATAGATATTCGTTTTCAGAAAAAAATACTTTTTATAGCATAAATTAAAATGCATAAATTCAAAATACTTTTTAAATAGTATATTGATGAGGATGATGGTAATAATATTTTTTCTGTGTTTGCATTATGGTAATAAATATTAGGGAGGGAATGTGTTTAAATGTCATGAAGTTGATTTAACAATGCAAAATTACAAGGATTCATTTTCTTAAACAAAATGTAATTTCTTATTTCATTCTTTTTATTTTGGGGTGAAATATGCCCAAATAATGTTATGGTATGGTCTTGACTTTCGTGAGATTCTCTCTTGTATTTAGTGAAACCCACTTGAGAGAATATGATAAATCTTGTTAAGACTTCATTTGCCCGGCTGGCCCACAATTGATGAGCATATTCATTGTAATTTAATTTATTTTAATGAGTCAGATGTTTTTAAAAAGGCACCTTGAACTTTCAGAATTAATGTGCCTCGCCGTCCGACTTCACAGACATAATGCTGACAGATCATAATAACGCTTCACTTTTCATATTCCTGAACAAACATCCTTTCTCCCAAAGGTCAGTATCACATGACTGCCTGGGTTGAAGTTATTAAAAATGCCCACATTCTCAGATATTATAGATTGAGCTTTATAAGATTGTGAAGTATAGAGGCTTTCTAATGCCTCATTTTGGACACTTTTCAAGCAACGCATAAATGTTATTCTATAATGCCTTTCATTTAATATTGATTGGCAGGATGCAATCTGTGATTCATGCGCAGGGCGAGGTAAACATATGTTTAGCTTGGGTCTGGTTTACCATCTTTTGTAAGAGAGCAGAAGAATATTTTTTAATTCCAGCCAAAAAGCTTGAAGTGACATGAAAGTGAACCCCTCCCATTGAGCTCAGCGCAGATGCTCTCCAAAACAAACCAGTTCATGTTTTCATTGCAGCAGACTGTGGGCAATCACACGTCTTTAACCTCTGCTGCTTCATCAGTATATGTGTGTAAAAATCGGTTGACTGAGCTAATGATGGAAGAATGATATACAGTAGCTCATTCAACACAAGAAGTTCAAATGCATAATGGTAAGAATGTGTTTGAGTTGCATTTTAAAATGAAAAGATTGCTCTGGATTTTGGACCATGTGAAGGCAGAGATGCATTGAGAAAGAAAATGTTATAAAATACATTACAGTTCCCACCATTACAGTCATGGAGCATACATTTTTACTGATGCTGAAAATAATTTTATAATAATTAAATTAATTAATTAAAACATTATTTTGGTTTTGCAAGAATACGATTTCAGTCGTTCTACTTAAAAAATATCATGTTTAATTAAATGCATTACTTGATTATTTGTGAAATTTACTAGCAATTTCTGAGTGAAAATTGTTGCAAAGTAAATCCTACACCATTTTTTTAAGAAGCTAAAGTTCAGCTGAATATTTTATTGTGCGTCCCACATTAAAATAAAATTAAAGTGTAATGTATGTGACTCTGCACCAGGGTTATTATAATTTCCTAAACTAAAGCATAAAATATAACAAACTAAATAAAATACAGATATAGATATTAGGGGTGTAAGAAAATATCGATAAATGTGAGTATCGCGATATTTTGTTTGGCGACAGTGACATGAAATACTAGCATTAAGGTGCGCCACTAATGTTAGCGTTAATACAGTTCGCTGCTAGTAATGGATGAGGATGATGGAGGATCCAGTTACCGTTTCAGTGTACAAAGCTGAAATTTGGGCTTTTAACGTCCACCGTGGGACCGTGGCGCGGGCGCCGCCTCGGTTCTGCTGCTTGCCACGTCCCGTACCCTTTGAAGAGCCTTCACGCAGCTTTCTCTCGTGATGGGGGCGTTTTGTGCAGTTGGGGGCGGTGTTCGCGTCTCGGTCTCGATGATTCCACGCGGAACATAAATACAAACTGAAAAACCTGTGAAATCCAAGTGGAAAGGTTCTGAGAATGTTTAACATCTGTATATATTTTATTGTTTTAAAATTGTTTTGTTTTCTTTAAGAATCCTGCAAGCACTTTATTTTTTATTGATATTAAGCAGATGTAATTCTTTTGTTCAGATCAAAATGTTATGACATTTTATGTTACAGTTGTAAACTTAAACTGTGAACCTTTAAAGCAGGGTCTAAAAATATATATGGTCTTTTTATAAAAATACATATTATACATTTAACTAAAGGATCCTTTCATTTTTCCCCCTTGGCTCGTACTGCACAAAAAGTGGTTCAATAATGTTGAATGTTACAGGGATTGATTATTGCAAATGCAGATCCCACTGTGTTCTGGTTAAATTATTTATTTATTTATTTATTTATATATTTATTGCTAAGGTTTGGTGGTGTGTTCTTAATGACAGCTTTCCTAAAATATATCCTATTCCTAAAATAAGAAATATCCCAATATATCGCCTTGCTTACAGTATCGCAACATATCGTATCGCAACCCCTGTATCGTATCGTCAGATTCTTGCCAATACACAGCCCGTACAGATACAGATATGAAGATTTCAGATGCCAGATTTTTTTTTTTTTAAATGAGCATGAATTTTATTTCAGCTAGATGGCAAGGAAACATTTCTCTTTTTCATTTTGTGTGTCTTGATATACTAAAATAGCTAAAACTGAAATAAAAATTATTAAATTAACTGATTAAGACTATATATAGACATTATATATATTACATAATATAAATATAATTACATAATAAAAATGACAAAAACACAACATTACTAAAAAATTTACTGGAATCAGAAGATAAAAAAATAAGAACTAATTCAAGATATTAATAAAGCTATTGTAGTCTCTCAATGATACTAAAGTAACCCTGCTTTGTACATCACTGATTATTTTTATTGACTTTGAAATATAAGCATAATAAAGCATGTATGTATAATGTACTGCACGCGGTATGATTGGCATGTATTTTAAGAAAATCTCCTTTTTGATGTTAGCTATTCAATCAGGTCAAATGATTTTGTTATATTTGATAATTGAATCTCAAAGTTTTGCTGTAATGATGCTTGTGTAGTGTGCATTAGATAAATGTGTTCCTCTTTGACTGTTGCAGCTCTGAAGGACTCCAGCAAGCGATCCATAAACAATGACTGGAAAATCGAGCTGCCAGGGGAGTTTGAGCTTGCTGGCACCACGGTCCGCTACGTGAGGAGAGGACTGTGGGAAAAGATGTCTGCCAAGGGACCCACTAAGACTCCGCTCCACCTCATGGTAAATACATTAGGTCCTAATATGCACCTTTCTCTTACTTAGATCTTTACCGTCTTTCACACGTTTCTGAAGTGTGCTTTTAAAGTCAGAGTAAAAAGCCATCCGCTGCACATTTTATTTCCATAATTATATGATCAGTGGGAAATACTGTAGGCCTGGACATGTTTTTTTCAGAGAATTGATTGAATCATGAACATTGAATGAATATTCTGTCATTATTATTTACTCACCATACGTTCATTTGTGAAAAAGAAGTGGGATAGTTAAAGGGATATTTCTCCCAAAAAATGAAAATTCTGTCATCATTTATTCAAGTTGTTCCAAATCTGTACGAGTTTCTTTCTTCTGCTGAACACAAAAGGAGACATTTTGAAAACTGTTGGTAACCAAACAGTGGACGGTAGCCATTGACTTCCATAGTATTTTTTTCCCCATTCTACCGTGAACTGTTTGGTTGCCAACATTCTTCAGAATATCTTATAATTGTATTGAATGCACATTTCATTGTGCTTGTATTGTACTTGCAATTTACAATAATTTTACAAATTTTAAATGTTTATTTTTTTTTTAAACTGTACTCGCAGATAATATAATGAAATAAAAGCCACTTAAGTGTCCTTAGAGTACACCTTCATAACTGTTTCTTAAAGTGCCCCTATTATGGATTTTTTTAAATTACCTTTCATGCAGCGTGTAACAGCTCTTAGTGAATGAAAACATCCTGCCAAGTTTTAAATCTGAAAGTGCACTGTGTATAAAGTTATTGTCTCTCAAAAGAAAGAGTCGACTCTGAATCATAGAATCGAGTCATTTTTAAAATGAATCCCAGGCCGTTTCATGTTGATGTCAACATGAAACATTAGCATATTGCCCGGCCACTTGTTGGTCTTTTTGCGTTGGTCTGAATGAAAATGCAAATTAATTCTTTGCCACTAGGTGCCGCTTTTGAAGCGGTAAAAATAACGGTTTCCCCGGTAACACTGTACACAAAGCAGCACTGTGCTCACAAACGCTGCTTTATCAGGCATTATAGACATGATGAAATTAAAATGAGACCAATCGGACCAATCAGAACAGATTAGCGTCACGCAAAGCAGTGCTATGGAAGAATGAATCGTTAAACGAATCGTTTGGGAGTTGTTGAGCAGATAAGGTAAAAATATTTTTATCCGCATATTATAAGACAATGAAAGTGTTTTTTGACCTTGCATGCATGTCAACCTGTTGTTGGGGACTCCCAAAACCAAAATATGAACCTTTCATAACCCATAATAGGCCCTATGTGTGTAAAGAGCTGCATGAAACTTCTTTGGAAAAAATAACAGCATATGGGTTTGGATCGACATGATAGTGAGTAAATAATGACAGAAGTTTCATTTTTGGGTAAATTGTCATTTTAATAAAGTAAATGGGGGCGATTTTGATTTCATGCTGACTGTAACTGTCATGTTTTCCTGGTGTCTGGTTGATTTAAAGTATAATTATGGCATATTTTGTCTTCATCATGAACGACTTCAGGATTAACAAAACATGCTATTTTATTTTCGGAAAACACGGCAGTCTGCTGAATCCAAAGTAAATGCATAAACTGAATGGAAAACAGATCACGCAAAATGTTTTGAAAGCAATAACGCAGATGTTTTTGGGACGGTGCCACTTCTGAACCTGAAGTCTTCACCTTCATGCAGGTCTAGAGCAGCTTTTCCACCCGTGTGTCGACACGAACACCGACTGCAATGATTTCATCATGATGTCATGTGGCGTTAGGGCCCGTTCACAATGCTAAAGCAGCTTGATGCAGCGCTGCAGAAAGAAATACAGAAAACACGTCTCAAAACACGTCAACAAAAGTTGAAGTACGCCTAGTTTCTACCGATTTCTCCAAACCAAGATCCAAGCTCTCAAAACAATCAATGCACTTGATACTTTACTTGAGAAGCAAAATTAAATGACAAGATATTAAGTCTTGATTTCTGAAAAATGTATTAAAATGAAGGGAGTGGGTGTTAAATTTTTTTTTTTTAAGGTTGGGTAATGGTGTGTGCAGAGTTTGGTCTTTTAAAATCACTGTCTAATGCATTGAGCCACGTCAAGTTAAAGGGATAGTTCACCCAAAAATGAAAATTGGATGTCTATCTGCTTACCCCCAGGGCATCCAAGATGTAGGTGACTTTGTTTCTTCAGTAGAACACAAACGAAGATTTTGAACTCAAACCGTTGCAGTCTGTCATTCTTATAATGGAAGTGAATAGGAATCACGGCTTTGAGAGTAAAAAACAAACAAACAAACAAAACCAAATTAAACCCTCCGACTCATGACGATACACTGATGTGTAAAGACACAAAACGATCGGTCTGTGCAAGAAAATGAACAGTATTTATATCATTATGTCCGAACTGTCCTGAGCGCGGTCGCGTCTTCTTCTTCTTGCTTTACGGCAGATCGCAGACTTATAAAAAGTGAAGTGAAGTGAAGTGACGTGTGGCCAAGTATGGTGACCCATACTCAGAATTAGTGCTCTGCATTTACCCATCCAAAGTGCACACACACAGCAGTGAACACACACAAACCGTGAACACACACCCGGAGCAGTGGGCAGCCATTTATGCTGCGGCGCCCGGGGAGCAGTTGGGGTTCGGTGCCTTGCTCAAGGGCACCTCAGTCATGGTATTGAAGGTGGGAGAGAGCGCTGTACATTCACTCCCCCCACCTACAATTCCTGCCGGTACGAGACTCGAACCCACAACCTTTGGGGTATGAGTCCGACTCTCTAACCATTAGGCCACGACTTAAGTGCATTACCGCCACCTATCTCTCAAATGGACCATTGACACTCTATCTACAATCTCAATTAGGAGTGTAGATTGTAGTGCATTTTATTTACACATTTTACAATGTGTTCCTTTCCATTCCTTTGTAATTATTTCTGAAGTGTACTAGCAATTTCTGAGTAAAAAATGTTTTAAAGTAAATTTAAGTTAAAACATTTTTTGTTTCACTTTAATTTATTTGTATTTATTTCACTTTTAGTAATTTTAGTACTTTTCAATTCTAATTTTAATTTAATTTTAGATTTTTTTTGTCTAATTTTTATATTTTATTTTATTTCAGCTTTATTTTAATGAATGAAAATGTTTTCGTTTTAGTTAAAAACACTGGAACGGAGAAATGTGTGTAGTCAAAAAGAAAACATTTAAGCAATAACCAAAGACGTCCATCTAGTGCATGATAGGATTAACTAATTAAAAAATAGCGCGAAAACTCACTTTACTGCTCACTATCGAATACAAGCCAGTCCTCTAATCCTAAAATTCAGGTGCATTGTTTCAGTTAATACCTCCTTGAAGCTCTTTATGATGAAGAGAATAGACGTGTAATCTCCACTCCCCCACAGTCACCGAAAGTTTAAAGCAAAAAGGTTTGTTTGGTCTGGAGAGCCAGAAGGTGTCTTGAGAGAGATCTCTAATTAGAGTAATTAAGCAGTGAAGCAGGCTTTAGATGAAGCTTTCTTCTCAGACGTCCTTTGGCGGACAGATGCTCCACTTCAGTCGGTCAGTGTTTTCAGACTCATTTAGAATATTTCAGCTAAATTTCTAATGTCTCTGGTCGTCCTTAGACCAGATATTGAGTTTTTTCTGACCTTGAATAACTAAATTGATGCAAAATACTCCAAATTAGGTGAGGAAAAATATATAATGTGCACAGGGCCAGATAAACCATATGGGCATTTGGGCACATGCCAATCTTGCCCTCAGTGTGAATATTCTCTTGTGACGTTTCATATTTGGAGAAATGTAGCATTACATCACTTGCTCACCAATGGATCTTATTTAAATAATGATCTGTACATGATGGGAGAATGCATTTGTTTGCTGATTTATATGACAAAAATGAATGTATTACACTAATGCAGTTTTATTTGAAGACATTCTTATGAGAATCACATTTAAGAAACTGAAAAACCATGAGAACTTGTTTGAAAATTGTTTAATTACAATTAAATAATGTCTAAATGCAAAAATGTTAATGGCCCTAAAAAAATAATCTTTATTTTCATTATTTTACTTGTGATTTTAGAGTGACCTGGACATGTTTTCATGAGATTCACTCACTGTATATTTTGTTCATCTGCTGTTGGTGAGCTTGTAGAGTATTTTGAATGTTCTTCTGCCTGTTTGGTTGTGTTCTTTTGTGTATAGTTTCATTCATGTTATTAGCCACTGGCTGACAGTGAGACGGCTCTTTTTGAGGGGACTGGGGGGCTGTTAACCTCCACCGTCTGTGAGGAACGGCTCTCACGAGATGAATCTTGTGATAAAGGGTGTGCTGGAGGCTGGAGTCTCGTTCCGTCCCTGGAAATGATTATGGGAATGAATGGAAGTGATCCTTTTTTCCTCATGGCATTTTGGTTGCCGCTTGAAATCAGACCTTACGCCTGTTCACAGGCCTCTGGAGATGCAATGTATAGCCAAATGTACACAGACACCTCCTATACGCTTGTAATTAACAACAGTCTGTGTTCCTGAAGGAGTTCAGTGGGGTTCAGCTCTGAGCTTTGCTAAGGCCAGTGAACTTCTTCATCGCCAGACTCATAATATGTCCATATCTGGATGAATTTGGCTTTGAGGTCAGGGAAAATTTGAAATAAAATCAAAATAAAATCTAAAATGAACTTTTTAATGCAAAAATCCTGGTCTTTTTGTGAATTATCCATTCGATCACAGTAGTTTGGAAATGTAATAACTTGCCTCTGTAGCAACTTTTTTGGGGCTAACAACCTCCAATGATCTTGTATAATAATAATATGTTATAGTTAAACATTTTAGAGACAGTAAGACATTTTAATGTTTTTGAAAGCAGTCTCTCCTGCTCCCCAAGGATGCATTTATTTAATCAAAAATACAGTAAAATTTTGAAAGATTATTACAAATTAAAATAACTTTTCTATTTGAATAGATTTTAAAATGTAATTTATTCCTGTGATGCAAAGCTGAATTTTCAGCATCATTACTCCAGTCTTCAATGTCACGTGATCCTTCAGAAATCATTCTAATATGCTCAAGAAATATTGAAAACAGTTGTGCTGATTTGTATTTTTGTGGAAACTGAAATCTTTTGTTCAGGATCCTTTGAATAGAAAGTTCAAAAGAACAACATTCTTAATGCATCCATGCTGAATAAAAGTATTATCTTGGACAGAACACAGAAGCTAATAAAGAAAGGCTAGAGTTCCTGAATGCTCTTTTTCTCACTTTGTCCCATTTTTCTCTCAGGTTCTGCTGTTCCACGATCAGACGTACGGGATCCATTATGAATACACGGTTGCCCTGAACCAGTCGCAGGAGAACATCAGTGATCCGGTGAAGGAACCAGAACACATGTACCTGTGGACTCACAGCAGCTGGGAGGACTGCAGCGTGCACTGCGGAGGAGGTTGGTGCCGTTAGTTACCCACAATCCCCGTCTGCCATTATTCTCATGAGTACATTCTTAAAAGTAAAGGCATCTATCTTTATAGAGTGCAGCAGTTGAGTTCCGGAAGTAAAAACTCCATTCATTTTTCGCAGTGATTTTTAACAATAACTTGATAAACATTTAAAGACAGACCTGTTGTGAGCTCTGAGGTTGTTAATCGATGATAAATGCGGGTCGGTCATGGAGAGCCACAGTCCTGCAGCGCTTTGCTCCAACCCTGATAAAATCTCACCTGCCTGTAGTTTCTAGTAACTCTTAGACCTTGATTAGCTTGTGCAGGTGTGTACAGGACTGTGGCTCTCCAGGACCAACGTTGGTCATCCCTGGCATATGCTTTCCTTGAAGCTATCAGTTTATGCTAATTTAAACTGATTTTTAAAATAGTCTTTTTTAATAGAGGATTTCTTAGTGAAATCTACATTACCCATGAAGCTGTACAGAAAATTCCACCAATCAGAGAGCAAAAGCGGCAAATGAGCTCTTTAGCTCCGCCCAATGAAGCACGTGAATGATGAACATACTTAAATATATATATACAGTGGGTATGGAAAGTATTCAGACCCCCTTCAATTTTTCACTCTTTGTTATATTGCAGCCATTTGCTAAAATCATTTCAGGAATCTTTGATGAATAAAAAGTAAAAAAAAAACAGCAATTATTCAAAATATAAATCTTTTCTAACAATATAAATCTTTGCTATCACTTCTTATCAATTTAACACATCCTTGCTGAATAAAAGTTTGAATTTATTTAAAAAAAAGAAAGAATAAAAATGTACTGACCCCAAACTTTTGAACGGTAGTGTATATTGTTAGAAAATATTTCTTATTTTAAATAAATGCTCTTCTTTTTAACTTTTTATTCATCAAAGAATCCTGAAAAAAGTATCACAGGTTTCAAAATAATATTAAGCAGCACAACAGTTTCCAGCACTGATAATAAATCAGCATATTAGAATGATTTCTGAAGGATCATGTGACACTGAAGACTGCAGGAATTAAGCTGAAAATTCAGCTTTGATCACAGAAATAAATTACATTTTTTATTTATATTAAAATAGAAAAACATTATTTTACATCATGATAATATTTCACAATATTACATTTTTTCCTGTATTTTTGATCAAATAAATGCAGCCTTGATGAGCAGAAGAAACTCCTTTAAAAAAACATAAAAAATCATTCTGATCCCAAACTTTTGAATGGTAGTGCATATATATATGCATATGCATATTTTGCAATAAAATAGAAAAATATATTGTTTCTATAGATACAATAAACAACTTTAAATGAATAGTTTTATATTTTATCATCAGTTTTAATTTGATTATGTCATTTGCAATGCATCATGGGATTCTAGTTCTTTCCCACACCAGAGCACTTAGGTACACATTCTTGCACCTTTTCCCCCAATTTTCATTTACTTTTTTGCTTCTAATCAATGTTTGTAATGTTGTGATGCTCCTTTTAGCTGGTTGGTTTGGTTCATGGCTTATAGCGCTTTTTAAAAATGGGCACAATGAATGGGTAAAAAACACTTCTGGAACCAGCGCTGCTGAAAAAGTGGACGGGCATAATGCACTCTATAGTGGAAAGAAGGTGCTTTAGATAATCAAAATGTTCTTCACACTAAGAAAAAATGGTTCTTTTTAGATCTGATGACTGAAAGCTTCTTTGTAGAACCAAAAATGGTTCTTCCATTGCATCGCTGCAAAAACTCCCTTTCTGAACCTCTTTATAGTGCATTAGAAGCTGATCAGGGAAGTTTCCAGGTTCCCTTTCAGTCTTAACAATTGAAGCGGTTAACGTCCGTCTGCTGTCCAGCTGTGTTTCTGTGAGGCCGTGTGACTGTTATGGTCAGCACAGCTGTGGGATTATATCTAGCAGGTTAAAGCCCCCAAAATAATAATTACTGCTATGAAAAAAGAATCTCAGATAAATTATATCAGCACTAATTGACTCGCAAAGGAATGAAGCGTGCAGAAAGAGATGCTGCCAGTGAAAGTCGTCACACTTGGTGGAAGCGTTATTCGCTTGAGACTGAACATGTCTTTTGCTTGCATAAAAAAACCCAAAAGGTGACTTTGAGGCCGGTCTCATTTTCTAAGCCCGTCTGAGCATGACAGTTTGTTATATTCACGAATCTGATAGCAGGCGAACATTTATCTGCAACAGACCGGCATGCAGTCTTCCTTTAAATAGCTCCCGTTTTAACGCTGATCTGCTTGTTTCTTCTATGGGGTTATTGCTTCCTAAGGACTGCGTGAGGAGGGGCATTGTCTGCGAGAAGTGTTGCATCAGCTTGTGTATTTGCACACAATAACATGAATTAAATCTATTTCTAAAGCAATTGTTAAGTGCTGTTGCTTCTGTGTGATGAATTGGGTTTTGGGAGCAGGGAGCTCGGGAGGCCATGGCAGAGCCTCCTAGGCCCCAGCCCCAGCCCCAGCTCCATAACCCCCAGCCCCATAACCCCCTACCTTTTTTTTAATATACAAAAAAAAATACTTTGAGAGGATAACGGGCTCCAAGGCCCTCTCTGGGCCAAAACCGGGCACTGGAGCCCTCCCTGGGCTTAACTGGGGATCTGGAGCCCTTCGTGGGCTAAATTCGGGAACAGGAGCCCTCACTGGGCTAAACTCTGAAACAGAAGCCCTCCGTGGGCTAAACTCGGGAACAGGAGCCCTCCGCGGGCTAAACTCGGGAACTGGGAAGCGCTTACGAGGAACTGGCACTGGAGGGGCAGGCACAGCAATGCGCTTTCGAGGAGCAGGCATTGGAGTGAACTCAGGGGCTGGAGCCGACACTGGAGCGAGCCTAGGGACCAGAACCAACCGCCTTCTCCTCCAGGCCTGGGGTGAAAGGCTCGGCTGGCGGGCTTGACAACAGCGCGACCGTCGGGCTTGTCTTCGGAGCGGCCGGCGGGCTTGACAACAGCACGGCTGATGGGCTTGTATTCGGAGTGGACGGCGGGCTTGACAACTGCGCGGAGAAGCGTGCGGCGGTTTCCATGCCGCGGGGGGAAAACAGGAAAACAAAACACTTTCAAAACAAAAAAACAAACACGGGGAGAAGGGGCGCCGCTTACTGTCTCTGGTCTGGTATTGTCACATTGCACTAGTAGCACATAGACGAACATTCAATACCTGACAAAGAAACTTAGAAATGGCCAGACTATAAATACACAGAACTGGACGAGGGGAAGACGAGGAACACCTGGGATCAATAATCATAAAATGTGGGCTTGTATTCGGAGCGGACGGGCGGGGTTGACAACTGCGCGGAGAAGCGTGCGGCGGTTTCCATGCCGCGGGGGGAAAACAGACAGCACGGCTGATGGGCTTGTATTCGGAGTGGACGGCGGGCTTGACAACTGCGCGGAGAAGCGTGCGGCGGTTTCCATGCCGCGGGGGGAAAACAGGAAAACAAAACACTTTCAAAACAAAAAAACAAACACGGGGAGAAGGGGCGCCGCTTACTGTCTCTGGTCTGGTATTGTCACATTGCACTAGTAGCACATAGACGAACATTCAATACCTGACAAAGAAACTTAGAAATGGCCAGACTATAAATACACAGAACTGGACGAGGGGAAGACGAGGAACACCTGGGATCAATAATCATAAAATAACATGGGAAACACCTGGGACTAGACAGCTGGGACTAAAGAACATAATCAGGACAGGAACAGGAAGGGAACCAAATAAGGGCATAGGAGCACGTGGGGAGCACAACACACGGAACATGTGACACATACATTGAAAGAATATTATTTGAGAAATTATTTGCATTAATTTGCTCAGTTGGTGTGTTTTGTGTGGGAGAAATGAATGGTTAAATATACAAATATTTTAAAATGTACAAATATAAATTAACATGCATGCTCAATAATTGTAATATAATCCATAATATGCTATTTAAAACAATTTAAAACACTATACATTGAGACTGCTGGTATTCAGCCCTTTTGAAACACTATTTCCAGCAGAATAAGTGTAGATTTGTAATTTAATAAGTATAGATTTGATTTAATTTATTTTATGCTCTCTCTTTCTTTTGGGTCAGTAAAATAATTTTAAATTAAATTATTATTATTATTATTATTTAGCAAGGATGCATTCAATTGATCAAACATAACAGTAATGACATTTATAATGTTACAAAAGATTTTTAATTCAAATACATGTTAAAAAAAATGGTTTCCAAAAAAATAAAAATATATATTAAGCAGCACAACTGTTTTCAGCATTGATAATAATTACAAATAGCAACACTGAAGACTGGAGTAATGATGCTGAAAATTCAGCTTTGATCACAGGAATAAATTACATTTTAAAATATATTACAATAGAAAACATTTATTTTAAATTGTAATAATGTTTCACAATATTACAGTTTTTACTGTATTTTTGATCAAATAAATGCAGTCTTGGTGAGCAAAAGATTACAAAATCTTACCATGGTGTATGTGAAGGACTGTCTCACTGCAGGTCTGAATAAATGAACGTGGAAGTAGTTTCACACAAAGATTACAAGTTTAGTAGTAAGAGGTAAAACTCATTTCATAACTTATAACTAGATACCATCTTTGCTTTGCTTCCTGATTAGCAAAGTCTTCAAGGATCCCTGAGAGATTGCTCATTTGGAAAGGGATATTGTGAATCGTTTCCCAGCACTTGCTAATTAGTGACCAAACAGTGTAGATGTATATTTCTAGGGCAATAAGTAAATAAATGGCCAGTAATTGTTTACAGTGAGATAACACTATTTCAATTGCATTTCTACCCACATTCAGACAGAAACTCTAAATTCAGCAGTACATGTCAAAGGATTAATCTGAAAGTGTTCAGTGAGCGTTTCTTTCACAGACAGACAGGACACTCTACTGTACTCTACTGTACTGGGGTAAAAGTGTGTTGCCCTGGAAACCGTTGTTAAGGAGCTGTATATAGGAGTGAG